TCCTGGCTCTCCTCACAGCCCCTACTCTCCTCATAAGGTAAGGGCCCCTCCCTTTCTCTTTCGGGCATGCCTGGTCCTGAAGTGTGGGCGCCTTAGGCAATGTTCGCTAACTGCAACTCCTCGCTAGTCACTTGGTAGACTGTGTCGTGCTCCCGCCGACAACCAAACCTGCACTTCCTGGCCGATCTAGAGTGACTCCGCTCGTCACAAACCGTACTGCCAGCCAAAGAGTAAATCTGCCATCCTTGCTGCTTCCCTCTCGCCACTCCTTTTAGCAGCGAACGACATATAGGTCCGCAGGTACGTATATAGTTCCACAGTTGGGCTTACAACACTCCCCGCAGCAAGCCGATCTACGCATACCTCCACACGTAAGCTTTCCTACTCACAACCTACTTTTATAATCATATACGTAGTAGAACAGGCAGCAACCACTTCCTCCAATTCGTCGAGCCGGCACGCAGCAACCCCCCCCCCCCTTGCTTAAAGCTGGCTAAATGTTCCCTTCAGAGTGTTCGACTCACTAACCATGCAGGTGAACCTACTATTTCGCCACAAGACTGAGCAATCGTGTTGCTCAAAAGGTAAGTCCCGACGTTCCCCGACTCACTCCTATCACTCTCTCGTGCTCTCCCTCTTGATGTATCTGACCCGTAGTAGTGGTCGGGCTCCCTATATCTCGTAGCCTAGGAAAAGCGGGTGCAACCACATATCCCGTCGTTGCAGGCTCCTCAACAATTCCGCCCCTTCGTAAGTACTTATCAACTCGTTCAGTCAAGTATGCTTTGCTTCCTTCGACATATTGAACTAGATCGAAACAAACCTCCCGATAAAGAACCGGCAGATACACCCCCTATCGCACCACCCTCTTTCTTCTTCCTCAAAAACTGAAGTACTTGCCTAACACGTTGCCCAGGTTCAGTCATTCCCTATGGCCCCAATGTGAGCACCTATCCCGCTATTCTACTCGCTCTTTCTTTCTTCACCTTTTGCGCAGCTTCCCATATCTATACTGACTACACCACTTACCTATAGCCAAAACTGACCATGCTATCGCGTTCGCGATGATCAAGAACCTCCAAAACGCCTCCTCCCTGTCCCGTTTTCATTAAGAAACAGGTGAGATCGACACTTTTCATCCTCACTCCTCATCCATCGCCATCTCTTGCGTAGTCTACTTCTCTTCTACTACTATATCTACTAACTTGAGCTCTATTCTAACTACAGATTCGGACTCGCCGGCCCTCAAAACCCCCAGATCTACCTTCTACCTTCTTAAAACTCTGGGGTATCGCATGATCTACCTCTTCCTCACTCTGCCCAGGCTCTTCACTCCACCATCTTCATCCTTCCTTCCTCAAATGTACCCGGCGCAATTCTGCGGCCGAATCCTTCCCTTTCTCTGTCGCCCGTTGCTGCTCTCTTGCTAAGACACGATGAGGGGTGAGAGAGTCAAGGCCTCACCCCTTCTGCCATGCCTTTCCCCTCCAGCGTGTCCGACTCTCTCCCTTCCTCTACTTTGACTGTCCCTAACCCGGGTTCGCACCCAGATACAAATTTACTTTCTACTCTCTCTACTCAGTTGTGCCCCGTCCCCGTCTTTGCTAGTTGAACGCAGCTCCCGATATCACCGCCACTGCTGCACCTCGTAGCGGGCCGCTTTCTTTTGCACTTTTCTATCTGCGCATAGTCCATGCACTAACCCAGACACCACGACGGGGGCCGACGAACCCCGTAAAAAACGTGTAACAACTTACCTGTCGAATCGGCCAGCCCCAAAGGCCGATCCGCTCTGTTATTCAAGGAACATGAACACGGGCCCACCTCCAGGTCCTCAGCGTGAGCCTGGGCAGGGCGGTCCTAGTGCAAATCCTGGTGGTACGGTTTCGGGGGACCGATTACTGCAGCCGACATTGCCCTGGGCCGCTTGTGCCTCGGCACAGTCCCGCCTGTTGGGTCCAGTGCGCCTGCTTATACTCAAACCACTCACAACAGATCGTGTTTGGTGGACAGTGCACCCACAGCAACCCTCGCCCCCCCACCGGCTGCAGCCCCCCAGTCCCGCCCGGGATATTTTTCTCCAATCCCCTCCTATTTTTACGCTATCGACGCTCTCCAAAAGGGAAGCGAGGGAGTACACGACCACGGCCCCCACCATTCTCTCGCGCGTTGACCTCCCTGGTCCGAACTTCAAGACGGGTGGGGTTGGGGAATTTCGTCAACACCCCGACACACCGGAACCCAAACGGTCTTGCCAAACGAGGCGCGTGCTCAAGGTCCTTGGTTGCCACGACGACCACCCGTGGTCAGTGTCGCTCCCACCTTATGAAATATCAAAGCATAAAATTAACTAAATAACGATAATAAAAATACTCAAGAAAATTTCAGTTGCCAAAAACAAGAAGCCGCCTGCACCGCCCTGGCGTTGCCGACGGCAAACCAAAGGAGGATGGCCCCACCATTTTGACTCTTCACGCGCTTTCTTCCACTGCCCTCGACCCCTGAATCTCTCAAATGAAAGTCTGATACCGTAACCAAGTGTGAGGCCCAAGACTGGGCCTAGTAGTTGTCAGACACTTAAGTGAGCGGATATCGCGCGATACGTAGACCCACCGAAACGATTTCAAGAATCACATTGTCGTTGACGCCGCCCTCCGCACGTATGCGTAGGTCATAGGCAAGCACATCAATCAATAAAACAAAATATTTTTAATCCTTAACTTAATCCGAAATAAAAATCTGGTCGGCGACTACGCCGACCCCCACAATCATCAATAAAAAATAAAAGGATCACATGCGCCTCAAATCCGCACGCCCACACACCTCCTCTTTAGTCAACCATCCTGCCTTTGTAAACTACAGACGCAGCCGCGCCTCGCGCCGAATACTTAATCTTTAAATCAAACTTATTTTTTGGCATTTGCAAAAACTAGGGCAGATACCCTTGTAAGGGTATTCGCACCGACAACTTACCATATTAAGCGACGTCCCCGTCGCTTTGCAAGATCGAAAAACTATAAATCCATCCAAACTTCAAATGCCGACGAGAAAGGAACCAATCCGATCAGCCGATAGAGTCAGGTTCGAGGCCCCCATCAATCCATTCCAACCACAACTTTATGCTGCCAGGATTCCAACCTCGGCCTCCATTGTCTTGACATTAGGACAGTGGGATACTCATCACTATACTACAGCATAAGTCCTAAATGGATTCCGCAATTGTCCTCTCCCCTTTGTCATAGACAAACGCCGACTTTTTGTTAGGTGTCTGTAGTCTCTACCCTGTAAGCAGGGTCATAACCAGGGACGTGGGCCCTAACCGAGACTTTGAAGGCATTTTTGCCTCCCTCTCAATAATTCTCACAATTAAGCATATAATTATACACAAATCTCATCATAAACTCTTCCTACAGTCTAGTACAGGAAGGTCAGGTCTCCATCCTGGCCCACCATAGTCTGGGTGATCATGTCAGGTCTACGGCCCACCGCGTTTGTTATTTCAGCGGTAGTAGTGCCCTCTCAGGTTATGCCACGATAGACTTTTCCTGATAAGCATTCAATCAGGACTAAAAAAGACTCGACTCTTATCCGACACCATCCCGCGGCAGGTAAAACCCTTCTGGGTGGCCACACCCCTCTAAGTCTTTACCCCTTCTGGCGAGACATGGGCCCGCTCTTCAGTTTATGCCGATCACCAGCCGACACTAGGGGTTGCGCCCTAGTGATGCTAAACTTTACCGTTAGATTGGTATTCTCATAAATGCCCCAAGATTAGCACAAGTGTCTCGACGGTGTGTCGCAACAATACAGGCCTACTGCGGGACTGCGCAGAGGTCTGTCACACATAAAAGGTATTTACCAGTCCTCCGTGGGACAACACAGAGAAAGACGGCAACCTCTCCATTTTCACAAAACAAAATCACCGCCAGGTTCACAAGGTAGTGACCTCCTTACTTGATTAGAGCAAGAAGGCCACCTCTCAGTGATATCTCCCAATGAAGCTCATTGCGACTTTCTCAAAAATTCCAACAATGGCCAAGCAAAAACGTGGTCCTTCTCGTCCGACTTTATCATTCAAAATCAGCCTACCATGCCATTGAATCTATTCACCCCCTTTTTATACGAAGGAGGTCTCTCTCAATAGGTCTCTCGGTCATCCCTTTTCTGTTTAGGATAGACCCTCACGCGACCTTTCATTAAAACATCTTATCTCTTTGAAGATGTGTCTTCCAACATGCACAAGACCACCTTCCCATATGAAGGCGTCTCAACCATAAACCAATCAAATCAAGAGACCAACTTATGAGTCCCCACCACAACTCAACAATAAACACTAGGCATCAATAAACACTAGCCATGGTAAGCATTCGAGTATCAAAGACGCATAAATCCCTGAGGATTCTCACTCTTTTCACAACCCGCCCGTGGGCAGATCGCGCGAGTATACCGAAGAGTAGACAGCTCAAATCCATTCACATTTACAAAATACAAAGCATATAAGATGTTCCTCATACATCTTTCACACGAAACCATCATACATTAGGACAAAACCACACATGCGAGAGTGATTGTGATCGCCATATACAAAGAGTAAGTCTCAAATAGTACTCGACTCAAGGACACACTAAGGGATGAGATATCTCATCCAAAAAACATATACAATAATCTCGTTCCACGAGTTACTGAAAACAACTCAAGTCACCTTCAATATAGTACATGGTCGACTGTACTAAAACAAGCCCAAAATCCCTCTGTCAATGTTAAAAAGACAACCTCAGTATACACATGCTATCTCACATGGTCCTAAATCTCGATGGACACCCTATGTTGTAATCCCCCATCTATACACTCGACGACATAGGTACCCAAACCTCTTAACAATGCTAAGACAAAAAAATCAAATAAAAACATGTGTTTCATCTGCAAACCAGGTCTATCTCACCCTTACCAAAACATACCCTATCGGTTGCTCACACATATGCGAGTCAGTACCTACTCACTCATCTCCTCCTGGTTCTGCCTGTACAGTTGAGCCCTACCCCCATCTGCAGATCGCTCTACTACTCTACCCTGCCTATCATACATCCTTCCACCACTCTCTGTAACCTTCCCTGCAGCCAGGTCCTTTAGAAACTTAGGACACTGCAAAGCCCTGTGCTCCTCGCTTTTGCAGAAGTAGTATAAGTCACCTGATCTCCGACCTCTCTTCTTTCTCTTTTCAGACCCTGGTAATGATGGTGTCTCGCTTGCATCCTTGGCCACCTCATGACATTGGGGTACATCCAAAGGGTCCTCTGGTTCCGCATCCAACTCTTGAGTACAAGGCTCTGGTCGTATCCCAATCCCCTTTGGTCTATACTCAGGCGTATCCAGCCTCTGAGGCTTGCCCTCGATGGCGTCCTCTATCGTAGTCCCCATCTCTCCCTCAAGAGGCTCCTCCATCCTCTGCTCTGGTGAAAATAGACTTGCCTCTTCCTGCATAGTGTGAACTGCTTCGAGAAGCACATCCATAGACCCCTCTGCTGAGCCCTGAACCGGCTCGTTGTTGGCCGTCTGCAGCCCCTCCCCAGCTGATAGTGGCGTAGCTGCCATCGTGAGTTCCACAACTGCTATGGGCAGTGTGGCAAGTTCAGTAGGCGCTCTAAACTCGAAGGCCTCTCTCTCTGCCTCCCTCTTGGCTTTCGCTTCCTCAGGTTCCAAAATGGCTCTTCCCATGGGCGGCTCCTAGGGGAGTTCAACTGCGGATGGCAGCCCTGATAAGCCATGCCCTGACTCTCTCTGATCTCTACGCCGGCTACTCTCTGCCCTGTCCACCACCTCGGCAGGCTCTTCTCTGTCAGCCCTATCACCCTCATCTCGAGGTTGCCGCCTCAAGTCCTGGATTATGGCAGCTTGACTGGCTACCAATGCCCTGAGCTCTCGGACCTCAGCCTCGACCGCCTCCAGACGCACTCCATGGCTCACTTCCTTCATCTTCTTCCCGGCCAGATCAACTTCCAACATCAGATACCTATCGAAAGATGTCTTGGCCAGGAAGCGGATTTTTCGGTCCAAGTACTCGTTTGCCCTCCTCGAAGTCCCGACTTCTGCCCTCTCTGGAGCCGTCAATCCTTCGCCATGCTGGTCAAGGAACTCGTCCCACATCTTCTTAATTTCATATGTCTTGGGTGTTGATGGTTGATCTGGGAGTGCCCCTGCCTCCTCTAACCTCTATCTTTCCTGCCAGATTTCCTCCAAATGCTTCCCAACTCTGGCCCGTTTTTCCTCAATCATCTCCCCTGCTGGTACTCTCTCCCTCGTGCGATGGTCCACTCTCCCCGGAACCTCAGCTCCCATCTCTCTCTCTGCCTCGCTCCTGGGGCGGCTCCATAGGTACGGGCTCCTCCAGGTCAGGGTGCTGTAGGGCGTGTGCCACCAGATGTTTGTCAATCATAGCAAGGGCCTCTCTCCTCCGGTCAGCTCTTTCTCTCTCCATCTCTACCCTCATTCCTGGCGATAGGATCGTCTCTAGTGGTGGTAGTGGGGTCTTTTCCAGCCGCGATTCCTCCTCTCTGTCGCGAGTGCCCTCTGGCATACTCCCCAGTCTCAGCCCCACAGCCGGTGTCTAAGGCGGAGTATCCTCCCCAACCTCTATCACCTCCTCTATAGCATGTCCCCCCTCTCAGTACTCGGCCTCATCTCTCGCTCAGGGTCATGGGCCTCCTCTCGTAGCACCTCCTCTGTCGGCTCGTCACGCCCCTCACTCATCGGCGGTACTCTCCATTGTGAGACGTCCAAATGTGCCTCCAACTCCTGCAGAGGCTCTCCAAATGCTGGCACCTCCTCTCCTGTGCGCTGGGGAGATCCTCCCAATCCTCCCTCGGTAAAGCGATGGAACTCCACTGGCCCCAACCCACACTCAAGATATGCACCTCGCTCCTCGATCTCAGGTCCCAACTCTTCCTCCCCTCTGGCGAGTGCCTTCCGTCCCCTTCTTGCTTATCCCAGTTGATACGGCTCAGCCCGTCCCCCGTATTCTTATTCCCAGGAATCCGTTCCAACTCAAAATTAAACATCCAGATGTACGTCAGCCATCTGGCAACAGTCGAATCTGATGGAACATAATTCCGCAGGGAATAAGCTAGTGCAGTCGGATCCACTCTCAATATGAATCTCCTCCTAAAGATACAATTTCGAAAGATTCGTAGGCAGTGAAGGACGGCGACAGTCTCCCTCTTGAACTGGGAGTAATTTCTCTCAGTCGTACAGAGAGTTCGGCTCTCAACTCACAGTGGTCTCTCCTTCCCTTCTGTATCTGCCTGAATCAAAACTCCACCCAAGGCAGTCGGCCCAGCATCCGTCTCAACAATGAATGGTCTTATTTCTGTGGCATCATAGTTTGGCGCTCCCAATACCAATCCCCCTTCTCGGAACTCTTTCTTCATTTCTGCCACCGCTTTTTTCTACTCTTCGCCCCAAATCCATTCCTGATCCTGACGAACCAACTTTCTCAAGTGCTCAGTCTTGGCGGCGAAATTCTTGACGAAGGTCCTTCAAAACCCACACGTGCCGAAGAAGCTTCTAACATCAATTATTCAGTGGAATGGTACTGGTCACTCAATAATCTTGTCCGTTTTCTTTACATCCGGCCGACGACCTTTCTCACTACAGACGAACCACAAGATGGTAGCTTCCCTCATGCAGTGTCTGGATTTGGCCCCACTTGCAATGAGGTTATACTCTTCAAGCAGATTCAAGACTTTATCAAGGTCCTGAATATGTCTCCAAACAAAACACCTCACTCCCGGCAAGACTTCGTCGTTTTCTTTCACTGTGGGCCCCTTTACGGCCAAGTCATCAATATATGGTTGCGTGATATACGGGCTGACTGACTGCATAGCTCGAATCAATGCTCATTGAACCATTGCTACTGCGTTTGTCCATCCTTGCGGAGCCACATTCATGTGGATCAGCCCTCGAGGCGTATGCATTGCCGTTACCGGTCTGTCTGGCGGATAATCCGAAAACTGGTCATATCCAGAGTAAAGGTCTATGAGCGAAATTATGGACCTTCCAGCACAGGATTCTGACAGCGCATCCGCATTTGGCAATCCACCCGCATCTCGCACAGTCACCGCATTCAGCCGTTGAAGATCTTGCACCCATCGCAGCGTCCCATTAGGTTTAATGAAACAAAATAATGGGGACGCGAATGACCCACTTGAGTAATCGGCAACATGCGTACGTATTTTGCCGTCGAGGTAATCTACCACCTTCTTTTCCTCGTCAGGATCAGGATATCGCGCCCCTCTCAAGTTCCATGGCTCATGCAGCACGGTACGGATGCGGATCATAGGAATCTTGTCTACATCCAACCTGCCTCGCTCCTCGTCACTAAACGCATAGGCGCGATGCCTTTTCTTCATTAGCTTTACCATTAACGTTCTTTCCTGGGGCAGTAGGTAGTCAGACTCTCTTATTATCAACTTCCCTTCATTCCCTTTGTTGATGCGGCAAGGCCCTGCTGAGGCGTTCTCCTTCATCTGCCGTATCAAACCTCGTTCCCTCTCGTAATATACCTCCTCATCTTCGGTAACGAGGACGGGAACTGGGCGACACTTTTTATCTATCGTCTTGTGTCGCCTTTGGAAACCCTGCTTGAGCCGTCCCCTAAAAAAGGCCGGCTTACAGCTTGCGCTTGCATTAATGTCGGGTTCCTCCTTCCACATGGAAGCCGATATACCAACTCCATCTCCCCAGCTTGGGGACACTCCAGGACCTGTTCCCTCAACGCCTGAATGGCGTCTAGATCCACCATCTCGTGCGTGGTCACTATATCCATGGCCTTGTTCACGTCCGATAGACTGAGGGAAAACGCCTCGCCTCTTTCTTCCTCCTCGGCTTCCATAAGCAACCTCCGGCGCTCGTCCTCTGACTCCTCGATCGTGAACGAGCCAGGATTGGGCCGGTTCCTTATACTCCGTGGTCTTGTATTCCTGCAGGTGATTACCTCGTAGTTTCCGCAGGCAGGATCACACATGTTTAGGATCAGAGTTTTGTCGTCCTTATTAAACATCAACGTCTCTGTGCTACACAAAAAGGATCTTCCCAGAAGGATTTCATGGTCCACGTCTGGCATAACGAAGAAGCAGGCTCTGGCTTTTACTCTTCCAACCACGATAAGTACATCTGAGGTTGTCCCGCAAAACACTGCCTTGCAGTTAGCTCCATGTAGGATGCCGCAATCAGAGCGGTCTATTTCTAATCCAAATCTGAGTGTGTCAGCCTTGCGGATAATATTCATCTCTGCTCCCGTATCCACCATCGCTGCGCACTTGGAGCCTTTTACCACCAAATCCACCACGCAACAGGCCACACACTTCCAGTCCCTCTTTGTCCCTATCTTTGCCCATTCCGCCTCCTTTGGCGGAATCATGCTGGGCACCAGGTGCCGTGACAATCTGCCTTTCAATCCATCACGGAGCTTAGGGGTCGACGCCAAAATCTCCTTCAGGGTCATCAGGTCGTTGTAGCCCTCCAACAACCTATCAATTACCCTTTCCACGTCGAACCCCTCCTCTAGCCGGACCGCATACTTATTTTTCTTCAGCGGCATATTCCGCAGAATCGGCTCGGCTTCCTCTGGGGCTTCTCTCTTCCTAGCCCTTTGCTCCGCCCTCAGGTCTTCTTCCTGGCGCAGCCTTTCGTCCTCTTCTTCCTCCTCATCATCCTCTACCTCCACGACTTCCTTTCTCTTCTCTGGCTCTGGCTCTTTTCGTGGAGGTTCCTGGCTGCACTGGCCTTGGCCTGGCCTCGGGTACGAGCTGCTTGTGCCAGTCTTCCTCGAGCCGTGGGGGGTCTAGTCAACATCCCAGACCGAGGGCTTGAACCCACGGTAGTTACTCCGGGTCGCCCTGGCATCGACTCTGGGTCGGACTCGTAGAGAAACACCTTCGGGATGCCAACCCTCCATCCTTTCACTCCTTCACAAAGCTCCACCAACTTTTGTTGGTACCTCCCCATCTTTCCCAACAGGTCTTCCATCTTTCCTAGCAGGATTGATGCTGGCTCTATTTTCTCTTCCTCGTTCTCCTCTGACTCAACGACTATGGGCTCTTCCTTTATATCTCCTGCCCGTAACCTCTGAGTCACCTCCCATCACTTTCCACTTCCTCCACCCTAATTGGTGGATCCTCCTTCTCTTGCCGTAATCTGAACGTTGTTGGCGCGAATACCCTTACAAGGGTATCCGCCCTGGTTTTTGCAAGCGACAGAAAACAAGTTTGACCTGGAATTGTTGAGAAGGTCGCGTGACTTGCGGCAGTGTGGTGACTATAGGTTGGCTATGAGGTCTAGAAGTAGAGAGTGCGTGGGCGCGCAGGGTTTGAGGCGCGCGGGATTTTTTTTTCCTTGTCGTTGATTATAAAGTCGGCGTGGATGCCGGCCGGTTTAACTTTGTTTTACTTTTATTTATTTATTTTTGATTAAGTAGGAATTAAGGATATTTTCCTACGACCGAGGCAAGCGCGCGTGCGAGGATGACAACATCGACAACGACGGCGCGACTTCGTGCGATGAGCGGGGCGACGTAGGATGGTGCGCGGGGCAATTATCACACGTTATAAGCAAGCCGGCGCGGGCACTAGGAGCCGCGCAGCCGGTTTGTTGGCCCAAAGCGTCGTGCCGCACTGCCTTGTATGGTACTCTGCGGGCACTAGTCTCAGGCTTGGGCTTAGCCCTATAGGTTACGGCACTGGGTTGACGATACGGATGTCCGAGGATCGAGGCCAACAGGGCGTTGGCGCAGCGGCAGCGGAGCAGCGTGGAGCAAAACCTGAGGGGTTGAGGGCCCAACGGGGCTATCCCCCTCGGTTTTGTTAATGGGCGCGGCGGCGAGCCCGACCCACGGGGGAGGCGAGGTGTTTGTAGTTCCTCTCCTTTTTCCCCGGTTTTGTTTTTTATTTATTTATTAAGTTTTATTTTTCTTATACCTCTTGTTATTTTTGGTTTTAGCTTTCCCCCTGTTCGCGTCCCGTTTCGGAGGCGGTATCGGGGTTGATATAGGGACGCACGGGGGTGCGTTATATTCGCGGGTTGCCTGAGGTTCGATTACGAACTGTTGTCCTAACTACGCCGAAGTTACCCCTTCATAGTACTGCGGGGAACCCCGTAGCAGCCATATCTGTTCTGAAGCCTCCGACGTGGGAACATGTGGGGGTTGAACCCACCAGCAGGTGCGCTACCTGCTACAGCAGGTGGGTGAAACCAGCCAGGGGTCGGCCGGTAGCATTAGGACCGAGCCTCTTCGAACGGCCGGTCACTCGACTTTCCCTCTGGCCCCCTCCTATGAGCATCAACAGTCTCTGGTCAGGGCCACTCGAGAGGAGGCGAAACCAACGGCATATCTCCGAGTTGCGGACTGCGGGTCCGGTATTGTCGGAGGCAACGGCGACCGAAGGAATAGAGCGGGGCGCCACAGAGCTAGGCAGCGGCTGCGAGCGCAGAACAGCAGGGAAGGGCAGGTGGCGGAGCGCTCGACAGTTCCGCTGTGTTACGAAGTCGAAGGCAAGGGGGGGGGGGCGAAGCACTGCGGGGTCGGGTGCCGGCACAAACCGGTGAGGCAACAGGCGGCTGTAGGAGGGAGTCAGAGGGGGAACCGATTGAAAGTCGGGCGAGTGGAAAGACGGGAAGAAGGGAGAAAGACGAATGAATCCGGGCGCATTTCCGCGCCGGATCCAGTAGGGAAGAAGGGCAGGAGGATCTCAGGTGTAGCAGGAGGGTAGTGAGAGAGAGGGGCCGCGGCACAAAAAGGGGGGCGGGGAAGAATGCCGAAGTAGCGCGGCAGTAGGAGAAAGTGGCGAATTTGGACGCCCTCCTCGCGCCAGATACCTTCGAGGCCAGCTATGGTGAAAAGAGCGGGGTGAGCACAGTCCGAGGAGTGTAGCTAACTCGACCCTCGGTGGAATCAGGTGGAAGAAAAGCTGAGTCTGATGTTTTGGCACTGGGCGAACACCATGGTGATGTTAGTTTTAGTAGCAGATTAGTAGAAAGGGAATTAGGGAGAAAAGTTAGTACGAGGGGATGGCGGGAGAATGAACCGGGCGCAACTAAAAAGGCATAGCGCCCTCGAACCTGAGTAGAATCAGGCGGGGAAAGAAGTGAGACAAGGGTTTTTGAGGTGGGCGAGTTAGATAGTAATGTTAGTTTTTGTAAAAGGTTAGTGAGATCAGAGGTTAGCAGTAGAGGTGGTGTGTCGGGGCTATGGCGGAGGTAGTGAAAACGGCGGGCACAGAAACAGCGAGGGGGAGTGGAACGGATCTGGTCGCGGGTCTGCGACAGAGGCGTTCCGCAGAGGAGATGGTGGAAGAATCGCGGCAAGAAGGAAGATAAGCAGAGGCGGGGCTGGGGGACAATGCGCCGGGAAGCGGGGCACGATACAATGGAGGGGAGAAACTCGAATGAACCTAGACGCGAATTCGCTCTTGGTGCATTCGAAAATGAGCGAGGAGAGGACAACGGATCCCACCGGTTTCTTGATAAAAGCGGGTGGGAGAAAGTGCTATCCCAATGTTTTAAGTAGGGCGAATCCACATTTACTGTTAGAATTAGCAGGGGGTTAGTAGAGTTAGAGATAGGAAAGAAAGCAGCTGCGCGGAGGAAATCGGGAGCATGGCTACGGCCGGCGCAGGAGGTTGCTCAAACTCACCCGCCTTTGGTAGAAACGGGCGGGGGAAGGTCCGTTTTGGGGATGTCCGGGTACTGCGAGCAGATAGGTGAGGTGGAATCTCGGTTGATGGGCAGGTTAGGCGGTATATTCGCTCCGAAATTTCCGCCCCGGGAGTGGCTAGCTGCTGTTCAGGCAAGAAATGAATCTGGCTACATTTCACGAACAGGTTCCTTCCATTTGGCTCACTCTATTGTTGGCAATGTGTGATTGGCCGCAAAGTTGGAGACCAGGCCGTCCGCTAGGACGCTGTAAGGAGTTGTCATCCTCGTTATACTCGATCATGGCTGGGGGATGAGTGGCGAATCGCATGGCAACGTACTTGGTCGCGTTCAAGAGGGAGATTTCCTCTCATTGTGCATATTCGGCGAAGTAGGAGGAACAGGGGAGACTGGCGAAAAGAGGACGTACCTGGCTCTGAACTTGCTGTTGCACGAGGAAGGGGGATCGTGCGGACAGGGTGGGCCAATCGAAGAGAGGAATGTGAGACTGCTGAGTTACGTGCCAACTGGTATGCCGTTTGTCCCATCAGTCGGAGCAACAAGGGGGTCAGTCGTGGAGACTATAGATTTACTGATCAGTCGATGAGTTGCTCAGTCTGTTATATCGGAATAACGAGGGGCAAACCGAGGGACTGAAGGTTTGTCCGCGGGGTAGTGCTCTGCCTATAGTGCTAAATGGCATAGCCATTGACCGACGTATTGATCATTTTACTGTGCGAAGTGGCTGAAGGGAATCTTGTGAGTACGGGCTTGCCCATAGTTCATGCATTGGGGTGGCGAACTTGGTGGAAATGCTGAGTTTTCGAGAGAAAGGGCCTGGTCGCTAACGGGAAAACCATCCGGGAGTCAACGGCGGAGGGCGGCTGCAAGTGGAGATGCCATTATTACGGCTAGACCGGGTCTATGTCTCTACTGCTCAGTCCGTACTCATCGAGATTTACGCACGGTTTGAACTCAGCACTGCCATTGAAGATGGTAGTAGCCATAACACCTAGTTGACTCCTGTTGTACGGAGCGACTGAAGTCGCGAGCTCGCAGGCCAGCTTGTGGTAGTTACACTGCGGACCACGAGCTCAGTAAAGAGAGCAAGTTATTGAAGAGGAGTCTTGCTAAGATCTGAGGGATCATCCGGAGGTCGACAGTTGGCATTTTGACTCCAGTTGACCGAGCTGTTGCAAAGTTGGCCGCCATTGCGGGGCCCTCAGGCGAGTCAAGGAAACAAGGCCCTCTCCGCGAGTCTGAGCGCACCTCTCTTGGATCTGAGAGACTCAAGCTTTCTCGTTCTGCCTTTCTTACTCTAAGTCTAGTCTATCGGTTCTGAGAGGAAGGCAGCAGGCGGGATTGCAACCCGTAATCCGTGCCAAGGCCTTTGTGGAAGGTTCGCCCCACCGATTGCGGGAGCTCTGCCGGAGCCTAGGCGAGGCTCTGGAGGCAGGGAATTGAAAGGTAACCATTGCTTTCCCTCTATAAGCCCTGGTATAGCCCTTATCTGTACATCTTGCTATGTTTAAGCATAGACTTTGGCCATCCCTCCTTGAAGCTTTCCACTCCCATTTCTTCGGGTTTAATTTTATCAGGCTCGAAGGTTTTCCATTTGAAAACAAAGCACATGACAAAGAGCCATTTGCACCAAGGTTTTTAATAACTCGAATCTGTGAGAAAGTAGACCCCACGACTGGCTGGGTTTGAGATTCAATAATTTGGAGTGAGTCACCATTCGTGGGACACTAGCCTTGGAAGATTCGTTCGCCGCCTGGTTGGGTATCTATCAGTTTCCAGACCTGAGACGTGCGTCTAGAACCTTTTGCCACGTATCAAGTATCTGGAGGGTCTGACGTAGTGTAGTCGAGCAGGTTTATCCAAGCCTGAGGAATGGCACTAATCAATAGTTGTTTCTTTGCGTCCGGGTGGCGTACCTGGCTAAGTGATAATTTGAGTTCATTTTCTGATTTCCAAGTTCCCCTTAGTTTATCCCACAAGTCTCCAATCCTTAGGAGACCTCTTTCAGTCCACTTTCTGCCGAAGCTGCCTACGACCGTATTTGCTTTAATCCAATTACCCGAGGATGATCCCATGTGCGGGTTCTCAAAAAGCGATTTTGGCACAGGTTCCACCCACATGTCTGGATGTAGA